TTTTTTTGGTACCGGGGATCAAACTCAGATCCTTCCACTTGCAAGGCAGGCGGCGCAACCACTGAGCTAAATCCCCGGCCCAACATTTCTGATATCACTATAGAAATTTCATCAACAGTCTCTAGGACACTTTTCTATAACATGATATTTAGCCAATGAATGCATCAATATGCTGCTGATCTCCAATCTTCCTTTTACCACACTCACCTTGTAACAGTCATTAGCAATGAGCTGTAAGAGACTAAAGGACTCGCCAGAGGTTTCCATCTTGAGATAAAGTTCCCAGGCTAGTCTTGGTTTCTTATTCATGATATCTAGAAAAAGAAACAATGTTTTAAGGTGTCTTTTAGGAAATCACTTCTGCACCTCGTCCTTCTTTGAATGAATCTATAGCCCAAATATATAAAGTAATGGCAGAATACCTCTTTTGTGGAAAGCTGGCAGTGCTGGCATTCAGCTAGTTCCCTACCAGAATTCTACCCTCCCTAAAATTGTTAAGATTCACTTAATTATGTCTTTTAGATTGGGATGGTTTCTAGCAGTTTTCCACTTTGCCAATCTGCTTAAAAGAGACAACTATCATCATTTAATTTTACTCATAATTTCAGCCTCATATAGAATACCTAACTGTTAAAATTTTCCTGTGGCTACAAAAACTTAGTGAAAAGCTGGATGTGGTGGCACATGCCTGTAACCCCAGCACTCAGGAGGCTGAGGCAGGAGGATTGCCAGGAGTTTGAGGCCAGCCTGGGCTACATAGTGAGTTCAATGCCAGCCTGGACTACATAGAGAGACCCTGTCTCAAACCCCCCTGCCAAAAAAAGTGAAAAATGTAAATCTGAGTGAAAACAAGGAGCAAGACAACACAATGATAGAGAAAGACAGAAAAGATTATTGGCTATAATATACAAAAAAAGGACATTTTTCCATGTTTCAGGTGTGAAAGGTGAAAAAGCAAAATCAACACAACAGTATCATTTCAGAAACAACAGTGTACACTGCAAGCCTAGAAAGTTGAACAAAGCCAAAAGAACTTGACATCTTTCAGGCCTGTACCAGGAAGGTCAATGCTGAATGGTGAAACCAATCACAGAGTAAACTCACACAACACACTGACGTGACAACTGCTATGGTTTGGATCTAAATGTCCCCCAGAGCCTCAGGTCTCAGAGGTGGCTTTTGGAAGGTGACTGTTCGTGGGGCACTGTACTCCTCAGTGGACTGATCGATCCACTGGTCAAACCATAGCTGGAGGTGCAGTTAGGAGGTGGGGCCTGCTCAGAAGAGGTAAGTGACTGGGGGGTGACCTGGGAAAGCATCTCCCTCTCCCCTCTCTCTCCTTCCTGGCCATCATGGGCTGAGCAGCTGTCCTCTGCCCAGGCCCGTTACCACCCTTTCTGCCTTTGAGCCAGCTGATCAGGCGCTGAAAATGTGTACTAAAATCAGCCTCGGTTGCTTTAAGTTGTGGGTGTTGGGTATTGTGTCCTAGGGATTAGAAAGTAACTAAGACAGCAACACTTAGCAATAGCATTAACAAGTCTCACCTCAGTGCTTACTCATTGTGTAGAAAAAAATACAAAGATTAAAAAACAGTGTAATTTTCAAACAGGTCATGCAACAAGAAAGAAAAGAGGATTTCTGTTGTAACGTTTAAAAGAAGACTCACAGCAGCGAGCTAACCAACTGAGGTAAATGTAATCATTTTTCAACTTCTCATTTTGGATCAAGAGGAACACCTGTGACAAGAGGCAAGAAAGGGAATAAACGTGAGGATGGTTTTGTAATAATTACCAGCTTGCCTGATGATCACTGTAGCCTTAGAGATTAACAACAAAACTGAATTGTAGAGTTAAGTTGAATTATTTTTAAAAATTCAAACAAATCGATCTATAAAGTTTGAAGTCAGGATAGGGGTTATCCAGGGGAGTGAGACTGACTTAAAAAGGAGATATGGGGTTTTTACTATTGTTTCATCATCTGGGTACTGATTATATGAGTATGATTTATATTCAAGGCATAAGCAAAAAATACAGTGGATGCTTAAATTTTAAAAAGTTGATTACAGTAAAAGCATAGTGCTGTCAATTCCCCTCAAAATCTTCCTGCTCATTTCAAACGCATTAATGCCAGCATCTCACCACTTTCTGGAGCAGTTCTAGAGTTCTCTTTTGGTGAATGTCTTTAGTTGTGCTGTCATGGCTGCCTCGATGTCCTGAATCAATTCAAAATGTTTACCTTTCATGGTCATTTTGACTTTGGGGAAGAGCCAGAAGTCACATGGTGCCAGACGCAGTCAGTAAGGTAGATGATCTTCTGTTGGATAGCACTTAGCAACTGGCTTCACCATATTTTTGATCATACCCTTGTAAAGACACTCATAAAGATGAGTTCCAGAACTGCTTCAAGAATGATGAGGTAGAAGTGTGTTTGAAGCAACAGGGACTGTTTTGAGGGGGGTTAATGCTAATGTGTCTTTCACTACAATACATTTTTAAATTTAAATATTCACTGTATTTTTTTTTGTACCGGGGATCAAACTTTCACTGTATACTTTGATCACCCCTTGTATAATCCATAAAAGTTATCAAAAAAGGGTAAACATTTAGTTATAAAATCCACATGTGTATTTTTATTATAGTTTTTAATGTAACCTAAGAACAAAGAAATCTCTAATAATCCTTTACCCTTTACCATTTTATTTAAGTGAGAAAAAGATAAGGATGCTTTTAGATAGAAACATTCAAATGCCTTCAAAAGTAGGTACCCTAGTATAATCCTTTAAGTAAAAGATGAATAAAATAAAAGTAGGTGCTCACCTCTTCACCCTCACTGGTATTGCCCGTTGCAGCTTTGGCTTGGGCATAATTAAAATTAAAGATGTCATCATTATAGAAGTAACTCTGAAAAACATCCCAAGGCCAGGTCCCATTGAGGATTAACAAATAAAATATAAAACCATTAGTTTTACTGAATAAACATAAAAATAATCATAAGAAAGCAGATTAATTCCTTGATGCCACTAATGGCAACAGAGAAAAAAGTGTTATCTGTAAAAGTTTAACTTCTCACACATTATATACATTATTTCATGCACAAACTCATAGACAATTCTAAGCTAACCTTAAATGAGTTGAGATAAATCAAGACATCATCAAATTGCTTAAGCAGGAAGAAACAGGAAGCCATACACTGCCTCCCTGGTATTGTATCTGAAATGGAGGAGGAAAAGAAACCATGATCATTCATGAAACTAAAATTCTCTTAAATTGAGATTTAAATTATTTTATAATTCAGTGATAGTAATGTATGCCAAGATTTACTTATTTGTTTATTTATTTTTATTTATTTTTGGTATCGGGATCGAACTTGGGTCCTTGCGCTTGTGAAGCAGGTGGCAAAACCACTGAGCTAAATCCCCGGCCCTATTTATTTTTTGAGATAAAGTCTCCTTTGTTGTCCAGCCTGGCCTTGAACTCAAAGCGATCCTCCTGCCTCAGCCTCCCAAGTGCCAGGATTACAGGCGTTGTAAGATACTATTTTATTTACTTATTTATTTATTTTTTGTACCGGGGATTGAACTCAGGACCTTGCAGTTGCAAGGTAGGCACAGTGCCACTGAACTAAATCCCCAGCCCTCCAAGGTAGTATTTTAGATTCCAAAATTGCAGATTCCATTTAGGGGATTAATGCCCAGCATAATGGAGGTTACTGTACTCCACAGTGGCTGATAATCTCTCCAGCGAACATACACCCCACTGTACACTCACAACAGCATGCCCGTATCTCTCTGCAAGGTTTCAATGCTTTCATCCGACTCCAATATCCACACACTCCTTCATGTGACTTGATTTCTCCCCTCACTTGTCTAAGACAACCTAGCAGCACTCTCAAATGGGAAATAATATTCCATAGAACCAGCTGGTTCTGATCCAGATCCACCTTTCTGCCTGAGGTCAGCCTCCTGTTTGAAGTTACAGGGGACCAGTACCTCAACCCCTGACACAGGCCTTCCCCGTTCAGATAACAGTCTGTTATGCTACAGAGTAATACACTCCATTCCCAGTCTGTCTGTCCTACTAAATGGAACCTCTACAAGGGAAGGGATTTTTCTTATTTACTGCTATATACCGGCATACATTTTTTTGCTTGTTGTTTGTTTTTGTTTTGTTTTTTTGGTACCAGGATCGGGTCCTTGCGCTTGCACAGCAGGCAGCGAAACCACTGAGCTAAATCCCTGGCCCCATACTGGAATACATTTTTGTTGTATGATCCAATGAAATACGGAAAGAAAACAATATCCAAGCTAGGTGTGGTGGTGCACACCTGTAATCCCTGAGCTTGGGAGTGTGAGGCAGTAGGATTGCTACAAGTTCAAGGCCAGTCTGGGCTACATAGTGAGTTCAAGGCCAATCTGAACTACAAAGTGGGACCCTGTCTAAAAAAAAAAGAAAATACTATTCAATAAATGGTGTTGGTAAAACATTTGTGAATATCTGGGGGTGATAAAAATATTAAACAATCAGTTCAACATAAATACTTAATCAGAAGAGCTGCTAACCACAGACAACTAGTAGAGGCAGCCATATCAGCTCACATTGGCCTTTTATAGCTTTCACAAATTTTACACTGAGTCTTGACTGATGAAATCAATACTTTAACAATTAAAACAATGAAGTCACAAAGTCACTACTGGGAAATATGTGTGAATATTATATAACCGGCAGTTTCTAAGCTTGGTATCCATAAGTACAAAATAATTATGGAAAAGGTAAACTTAAATACGACTTTTTAACTTTTATGTAGGAAAAAAAAATACCGTGGGCAAAGATTAAAGGCAAATGACCCTCTGGAAAAAAACACCTGCAATGTGAAAAAAGCTTAATGCACAAGCTGTTGAAAATTCAATAAAAACTAATATTTCATGTCTAAAACTGATTCAAATTTTTAAAATTCTCATGAATTGAAGAGTAAATTTATTCTCCTGTTCCATTTTAGCAGAGATGTTCAGAAGACCTAATCCAAGACCTAAGGCCTTCTCTGACTTTTCACTCCCACTTCATAATGTGGAGCTAACATATGGACATGCCTAGATGGGAATCAAGCTTCACTGGTCAGGACGGTCGGCCGTGAGTACTGATCTCAGACATACCGCATTCACTTGCAGATCCGCCCACCAACTGGAAGAACTGCTGGGCAATTTTCATATGATCCCTCTGAAAAAGAGAACAGAGCTGACATAGAGGAATAAGGCAAAACTATCATGGTTCTCCATGTCAGAATTTAACATGCTTTTTGTTTTAAATCATGCCCCAAACAATGCTAATTGTTATTAGCATAAGCGATTAGACAATGGTAACCTGAAACAGAATGAAAAGTTATGCAGGGTCAGGCGGAAGGGAACAAAATCAAATCCACAAATTGTATCCTAAAAGTATCTACATTAAATAAATTAATACATTTACTCATTCATTCAATAAATATTTAATGCTTTTTACAATATATTAGAACTGGTACAGGAGCTAGGGGTACAAGAAGTATTTATTAAACTCATGTATTTATTTTTGTTTGAATTTTTTTTTTTTTTTTGTATCAGGGCTCAAACTCGGGACCTTGCGTTTACCAGGCAGGCGCCGGAACCACTGAGCTAAATCCCTGGCCCAAAGTCATGTATTTATGCAATAAGTATTTACTGCCTATCTGCTATAAGGCATTATAGAGTGAACCAGAGATAAAAAGATTTATTCCCAGCCTGGGCAACTTAGCAACTTAGCTAGACAGTGTCTCAAAATAAAAAATAAAAAAGGGCTTGGGCCAGGGATTTAGCTCAGTGGTTTCGCTGCCTGCTGCACAAGCGCAAGGACTCGAGTTCGATCGCCGGTACCAAAAAATAAAAAAAGGCTGGAGTTGTAGCTCACTATGAAGGGTGTAGGTTCAATAGATAAAGAACTTACTATGTCATATTAACATGGATAAGAGCCTAATGTTAGACAGTGTTTCATTTATAAAAAGCTGTCTTAGAGGAGATGGGGGTATAGCTCAGTGGTAGAGTTACATACATAGCATGCGCAAGGCCTTGGGTTCAATCCCCAGTATCTAAAGAAAAAGAAAAGGTACCGAGAGCAACAATTTCTTCCATTTTATACATGCAAAAATTAAAGCTCACAGATGAGCAAGGTTTTAAATATCACTGCAGGGCTGGGGATTTAGCTCAGTGGTTCTGCCACCTGCCTCACAAGTGCAAGGACCCGAGTTCGATCCCCAGCACCAAAAAAAAAAAAAAAAAAATCACTGGAAATTAGAATAAAGTTGCACAATGATCCTTTTGTTTATTAAATATAAGCACTATATAAAAACAGGTTATCTTTTAAAACAAAGCAGTAATTTTTAGGGTTAAAGGTTTGAGGGGGTTTTTTTTCTTGCTTTTAAACAACAGAATTCTTTTTTTAAAGAGGGACCTGGATTGGAGGACTTGGAGAAATAAAAGGAACTACAGAAAAGCCTATTTGTACTTTTAAATACATTTTGGTCTTTTCCACACATCTATAACTTTGTATGCTACCATATTTCCCTGAAAATAAGACCTAACTAGAAAGTAAACCCTAGCATGATTTTTCAGGATGCTCATAACATAAGCACTACTCCCAAAATAAGAATTAAGATCATCAGCTGGATGGACCCATTTTGTACACCTGTTGAAACATATGACAAACGTATTGAATTATAAAATAATATTAATATATAATTAAATATAAATATTATTGACATTAATACTTAAATGATAATATAAATTATAATTAAGTATTTGTAAATATTTAAGTGGGTACCTTTGGATAAGAGGTAAACGCTTTTGTAAATAGATGAACTTAAGACTTTCTGCCGAATGACCAATCAGAGAGTGTAGACACAAGGCACGAATAATGTGCGCACTTGATAATGAATGGACGTGGTTGTGTCTAATACGAATCTTTGTAATTCAGTACATCGTGTGTTGTACCAATGCACTTCGAGCAGGCTACATGGACGAGAAGCACTCATTTAAGGAGAGCCCTGTTGCTGGACATGCGAGATTGATGCCAATGGTTCTATGGGAAATGGAGTCACAAGAAATTCAGGCCAGAATTCAGGGTTGGGAGAAGTATGATGATGTTCCAGATGATATGACTGTATTTGAATAAAGGCAGTTTTATACATAAATAAAGATTGATTTTATTTATTTATTTATTTTTTGTACCAGGGATCGAACCCGGGTCTTTGCGCTTGCGAGGGCAGGCGGCAGAACCACTGAGCTAAATCCCTGGCCCAAATATTGCTTTTATATAAAAATGAATAAATGTAGCTTATTATACACGAAAAAATAAGATATCCCCTGAAAATAAGCCCTATTTTGTCTTTTATAGCAAAAATTACTTTTGGAAACATGGTATAGAATAGCAGTGGTTCCATACTCACCGAACCCATTTCCTGGCCAAGGGCTGCGTTGACCACTCCTTTGAGGATGTACTCCTGGAAAACACAACACCACTGATGGGTTAAGGGGAATGGGAGCTGTAAGCTAACTTCCTAGTTCATCCCGTGTATCAACCCAGTACTTCATCTGTTGAGTTACTTTTCTTTGTTCCCTGTGTGGCTTGAATGAATTAGGAGACTTTTGTTTCCAGCAGGCAAACGGCCGAAGAACAGAATTCACCATATTTGTAAATTCTCAAAAGATGCTGAAGGTTTTAACACACTTGAGAAATATATTTGCTGAGACTCCATCGGGTCTGGAAACATCTTCCTCCAGTCTGTCACTGAATAAAGGGAATGCCTGATGTGTACTTAGAGACCACAGTGTCAGAGATACCATACAGGCCTAGTCCCTGCCTGCAAGGGTAGACAATGGGGAAGAAGACAAGTTCTAGGCAAGTATACTAGTAAGATAAGATATCCGCCTGGGCATTTTCACCTGAATTCTAGATTTTCATATTTTCCATCTTTGGTCTTTTGGAGGAACCAACTGTGCATGAGGGAGTCTCACCACATCAGAGCCTGAGCAGTCACACAGAACATGCCTGTGTCAATACATATGGCCTTCCCTGAGGTCCCACAAGCAGGACCTTCTCTAACATGCACTTCCCACTATACTTGTTCAACATTCTCAATTACCTGGGGGGTAGTAGGTTCCAGATCCTTAATTAAGTTATAAGCTTCCTGTACATCATCTGAAACAAGAACTAAGAGTTACAGTAGTCGGTATTTCAGCAAAGCTTTCTAAAGCAGTCCCCAAAATGATCCTTCAATATTCAAATATTCACAGAAGGGCCGGGGATTTAGCTCAGTGGTTCAGCCGCCTGCTCTGCAAGCGCAAGGACCAGAGTTCAATCCCCGGTACCAAACAAACAAACAAACAAATATTCACAGAAAATAGAGTTGGGGATGTAGCTTGTGGTAAAAAGCTTTGTCCAGTATGTGCAATGCCATGGGTTTGATTCCCAGTACTGCTACACACACACCCCACAGAAACATGATCTGTTTTATCTGTCCTCTAATTCTCCATCAAGTTCAGTGTTGCATAGTTATCCTAAAGATCATGAAATACCTTTAGAAAATTCAGATAAGCTGTGAAGATAGCTAAACAAACTAAGAATATGGGCTAGATAAGTCACTGGCATTGTATTTAGACAAGAAAATGAATAACTTTTTTTTTTTTTTT